TCCCTCCCTCCCTCCCTCCCCCCCCCTTTTTAAGTTGTAAGCCACCCTGAGTCCCCCCAGGGAAAAGGGCGGCATATAAATAAACTTTAAATCTAAATCTAAAAATCTGCCTCCAACGCAAAGCCCTCATCCGACCCTTCCCCAGACTTCAGCATTGGCCAATGATCCACCCCAACCTCTTCGCTGACTGACTCTGCTGCCAGCTCCACAGTCTGCAGGTGGATCACAACACCTTGATGTGGTAGCCTCTTCATGTGCTGGGATACTCTTCTCTGAATTGTGTCTAAGTCCATGCAAACATTGATGCATTCATTGTATCTAAGTAGTTATGAATTATACATTATAATGTATGTAAGTTACTCATAAATATCAAATAATTCATCTTTACCAATGGTTCTCAACCTTCCCAATGCCATGACCCTTTAATACAGTTCCCCATAAAATTGTTGTCTCGGTTCCTAAGACCATTGAAAATATGTGTTTTCCGATGGTCTTAGGAGACCCCTGTGAAAGGGTTGTTCGACCCCCAAAGGGGTCTTGACCCACAGGTTGAGAACCACTGATCTATACAACCAATTCAAAACAATCTGACAAGTTACATAGATATGTAATAAGTTTGTGAAATGCTTCAGTTTTTAAAGCAAAAAGGCTACTTTGGAGCATGTATGTAGCAACTCCTCTTTAAAGCAGCCACCGTATTTCTGATTACAAGGCAATCAGAAGGCCCTCTGCAGTGCCATCCTAGGAAAAAAAAACACTTAAGAATTTGCAGACAAGTGTTGCATGTGTGTGCCTGCATAGCCTTTGACTACAAAATACATAAGCTAAAGAAAAAAGGAAACGACAACCACGTACCACATAGAATAAAAGTCCACCTGAAACAAAGGCGGAGGACACATTGAACTCTCAAATACCTATGCACAATTTTTAATAGCATGAATTATAGCCATAACCATGAAAGTGCCTTTATGTATCAAAAGTAGAAAATGTACAATTTATGTAAAAGTTCAAATAATTAGTCTTATAACAAAATTACTGAAAAAAGAGCTGTAATTTAATATTACAGCTCATGAAACACCACAACGCTTGTTTGAGTTTTCCTTAGGTTATTCTAAAGAGATAAAACTTAAAAAAATATGAAAATTAGTTAGCTATAAATCAACAGATTCTTGGGTGGCTTATGCAATCACTCTACTTACTTGAATCCTCCCATCGGAGCAGATGCAGTTTCCAAGCTGAGTAATACAGAAACCCCAAGACGAGAAAGAGGCAGAGAGCAAGTAGCACGTTACGCATAAACACCAGAAGTCCCATCTTCATATGGAATAGCTCTTCTATAAAATCTGGGTGGAAAAAAGGGGGTATTCTCAATTGGTTTGTATAGCATAAGATTTAGATGTTTGACTAGGACTGGAGAGACCAAGGTTCTGGTCTCACCTGGTGACTTTGAGCAAATTACTTTCATTCAATCCAGCCAACTTTGCATGGATGTTGTTATGGGGACCAATTGAAGGAAAGAACCTTATGTAGATCAACTTGAGTTCCTAGAGAAAAGTTAGGATATACAGTAATTCTAACAAAGATTTTTTTTAAAAAAAAAGCAACTATGTTTAAGTTACCTAAGCATGCTTCTTCCCAACATATACAGGTGAAATTCGAAAAATTAGAATATCGTGCAAAAGTTCATTTATTTCAGTAATGCAACTTAAAAGGTGAAACTAATATATGAGATAGACTCATTAATATGTACTCAGTACTCGGTTTGGGCCCCTTTTTCAGCAATTTCTGCCTCAATGCGGCGTGGCACTGCTGAGGTGTTATGGAAAACCAGGATGCTTCAATAGCGGTCTTCAGCTCTTCTGCATTGTTTGGTCTCATCTTTCTCTTGGCAATGCCCCNACAACTGGCCGCTGTGATACAATTGTATAAAAATAATAATAGAAACACAGCACAATGCTTTTTCTTTCTACTACAGAAATGAACCTCTATTTGCAGGGGCTTTTTCTTTGTAAATGGCTCCGGAAAGCTGCTAAGAAGCAACACTTTAAAGTTATTTATGAGAAGAAAAAGCAGTTGTTTGGTCTGATCAGATCCAAATAACATATGTGCATTTTATCGTGTGAGTGTGAGTAGCACTGGATAATGTCAGCTGGGTTAATTGCAAAGCTTATTTTTCAGAGATTTATGGTTACAAAGGAGAAATATCCTTTGGACCTCAGTTTGACCCAAAAGCTATTTCTGTTTAGACTTTAATGTGGGAGTCAGTTCTGTCTGCCAAGTGCCAGAGTAATTGAGTGTTTAACCACATCCTTGCCCTGGATTTATCCACAACAAGGGAGAAGCACACCATTTCACTGTTTAATTTGCAGCCACAAAGTAGCTAAATATCCTTACATACAAGCATGCATATTCAGCATGCTACTTCCTTCAGGTAAGCAAAGTTAGACAAAACACAAAAAGGGATAAGAAATAGTAAACCAAAGAAATTAGGGCCTGAAAATATAAAATGGAAAAAAAGCTAAATCTGCAATACTTTAACTTCATTCACTATATCACTTATTTTTACCATATCCATTCATTGTGATTTGCTTTTTAAGCTTCTCACTCTCTTTTGAGGATATCATCATCTTCACCCAGCCATGACTTTTTTGAGACTCCCCTTCCCTTCAACCAATTCACATTTCCTTCCTATATTTGTTTTGTAATTCTCTTTATATGAATGAATCATGAATACTTCATTTTCACACATCACCCACTGTTGTATTCAATTTACATTGATTTCAACAACCATACATTTCTTCTTGTTTTACCAGACACAATTAAACACCCCATTTCCACTGCATCCAATTTAATTTGTTTCTCCTGGATATCCAAACCACCCTATCATAAAGCAAGCAGAAGCATGCTCTTATACACAACCATTTTTGTTTGTTACAACAAATATTCATTTTTCACAATAGACCAAATGCTATACTCTACCTTTTTCCATTGTTCTTGTTGCATCCATATAATGGATCTAACATACCCTGCAAATCATCTAAATCTTCACCTAACATGGTGTCAACTGTAAACATATATATATATATATATATAT